TTCTCAAAGTGAAACCAGACATCACTACGTGACTTTGAGGCCATGATTCTCTCTCTTCTCACGTCTTTTGATGCATCCTGTGGCAAGCTAACCAATCAGAGCTCAGGGCGCCGCCCAAAGTGCTGCTATAACCAATCAGGGGGAAAAAAGAAAAAAAAATGTTTCGATCATCGTTTACATGATCGATCATCGCTGTCACGGTCGAGTACTCGAGTACTCGATCACTGTTGCACATCCCTAACATTAGTACCATATTTTTAATAATCACTTTAAATTTAGAATTACTATATGAAAGTCTGCTAAGATTGAACTAATTTTTAAAGCATTCAAAGCACACTTTTAAGAAATATCTAATAAAACTGCTAAAAATCTATTTAGTGGTATTTAGCCTATACTTTTTTCAAGTGCACTGAAGTACTACTCTCACTTTTCTTCTCCCGAGGAAGACGACAACAGAGATGGATTCCAGTAAAATTGACAGACATTATCAATTTCAATCTGTCGGATTGGTCCTGTTTTTGAATGTCTACTCAATTATTAAAAAAGAACAAGAAAAAAACTTTTTTGTTTTTAATGTCACCTTTCATCCTTGTAAGACTAAAATGTAAGCTCTTTTTTTTTTTTTTGGTTTGTCTTTTACTATGTAAATATTCCAGTTTGAATAAATTGCTTTCACATTTTGACTTTGTGACAGGGTGACGTACGAGTTTGGGACTACATTTCCCACAAGTCTGTGGGGTAGCGTAACGTCTGTACATAGCCTACTATGAATAGATGCACTGTAGTGTCTGCTCTCGTCTCATTCATTCATTGAGGTTGCAAACAAGCGTGAGCTATCAGATAATTTTAATACTGACTTTCTGATGAATTCTGTCTTTTTCTTTTTTTGTACTTTCATAATATTTGAGGGAGGGGGCACAACAATACAGTTTTGCTTAGGGCACCCATTTGGCCAGCAGCGGCCCTGAGAACTATATACAAAAACAGGGGGCACCTGGGGTGGCCAATCAGATTTCAGTGGCTCTGGCCACCACCCTCTCTGCAGTTTTTATGACCTGTTGCAGTAAGTAAGCAAACTGTTGTCACGCAAATGAGAAGTTGTGGCAGCCTTCCAAATGGCTTCTCTAGGTGTGCATAGAAAACTGAGGTTAGCTCTAGGCTTGCGGCCCTGCTGGGGTTTTCCAAGACGGTGAACAACATTGATGAAAAAACAATAAGTCAGTAAATTCTCTGTCAAGGATCGCAGGAATCCATATAATATTATGTGAACACCAACCGTTTAAAAAGTCAGATTAGTACAAAACAGACAGCAGTGTCAGTTTTTAAATCAGTTGGTGAGTGTAATTTCACCTTCCTCTTGTACAAAGGCTCTGGCTCTGACAAAATAAGCCATCTTCCCAGCCGCTCGAGTCTTTCGAACGACACGATAGAAACCATCACGGGATTTAATGGTTTTACTGGTTATAATGGGACTTGCATTGGTTTTAATGGAAACTGTAATGGACCCTGTGCGTTTCTACTGGTAATTGGTCGCCTTCTGTTGGTGGCTTGTTAAAACCACTGAATCCTAATGGAATGTGTCCCAAAACACACTACAGGAAACCATGCCGTGCCTTCCTTATGCTTACAGGCTAACGTTAATCCTTCTGTATTTCTAATTTATTTGGTCCCACAGTGTTTGCTTTTCGGTTTTTTTAATTTAAACTTTGTGTAAATGATTTGTTATGCTATATTAGGCCTAAAGCAAAACAAGTTATTCTTTTTTTTGTTGATAAATAATTCGAGATGGAGAATGAATTACAAAAATGAATTACAGAACACCGGTAATAACAAAACAGATAAAAAAGAACAAATAAGAAACGCAAAACGTTTTGATGTTTTCCTGCACTTCCAGAGGTCGCTGCATAAACGACAACAGAAAACGGAGGAAAAGCTGAATAAAATGACATATGGTAGGAATAAAATAAATAGGTCCACATGAAATATGTTTCAGGTAAATAATTAACAAAAGTACAAAGAAAAAAATAATCAATTTTATGGCCGCAGCACAAATTTAAGTGCACGAGACGGTTGAAAGCTCATCTTGTTTGTTTTCTTTACTTAAGGCATAGTTTTTTCGTGTTGTATACATGAATAAAAGTACGGTTTCAAATGATGTCTCACTCCTTTCTTTACAACCAAAGATGACAGAATATTGTAGACTTTCCCGCTGTAATAAGGACAATATCCGTCATTGCAGTAGCCTTTGGCGCACACATGGGGTGCGTTTCCCAAAAGCATCGTTAGCTATGGTCCTAAGTTCCATTGAACTCTATTGGTAACGATGGAACTTGTGACCATAGTTGCTTTTGGGAAACACACCCCTGATTAGCTCACCAGAACCGTGATTGCTGGGCAACACTGACAAGCAATCAGACCGACGACAACACACAGACCCCTGAACCCGTGACGCTACTTTTATATGAATGCATAATCCAGTCATGTGCTATTAGTACATTCATAGCCTAAGCACAGTGAACCTAGGGTTTTACTTGTAATTAATACATTTCTCCTGTATTTTCCATGAAAATCCATTAAAATAGAACTTAAAAATCCACTAAAATTGTATGTAAAGGGTTCATAGCACACTTTTAAGTGATGCACTTATAAAACACTTTTGTATGTTTTGTGGACTATATCTGACTATGCTTGAAATCCATTTAAGTGTTAGTTCTAATTAAGTGCATTTATATTAACTGTATTTAAGTGCCACAGTTGGGAACATTTACATTAGTTAGGGATGGGCATTTTGGGAAATTTCTCATTTCGATCATCGAGCACAAATTTAAGTGCACGAGACGGTTGAAAGCTCATCTTGTTTGTTTTCTTTACTTAAGGCATAGTTTTTTCGTGTTGTATACATGAATAAAAGTACGGTTTCAAATGATGTCTCACTCCTTTCTTTACAACCAAAGATGACAGAATATTGTAGACTTTCCCGCTGTAATAAGGACAATATCCGTCATTGCAGTAGCCTTTGGCGCACACAATATTTAATAGCATTGCTAGATATTTATAGGCCGATATTTTTTTTATAGCGAATGTCATTATAATTGGTTTTATTTAAAAAAAATTGTAATACAATTTTTAGCTGTTCTTTTAATTTTTTTTCTTATTTGTTCTTTTTTTATCTGTTTTGTTATTACCTGTGTTCTGTAATTCATTTTTGTAATTCATTCTCTAGCTCGAATTATTGCCTTTCTCTCAATTAGCCTACTATGTAAAATAAATAGGTCCACATGAAATATGTTTCAGGTAAATAATTAACAAAAGTACAAAGAAAAAAATAATCAATTTTATGGCCGCAGCACAAATTTAAGTGCACGAGACGGTTGAAAGCTCATCTTGTTTGTTTTCTTTACTTAAGGCATAGTTTTTTCGTGTTGTATACATGAATAAAAGTACGGTTTCAAATGATGTCTCACTCCTTTCTTTACAACCAAAGATGACAGAATATTGTAGACTTTCCCGCTGTAATAAGGACAATATCCGTCATTGCAGTAGCCTTTGGCGCACACAATATTTAATAGCATTGCTAGATATTTATAGGCCGATATTTTTTTTTATAGCGAATGTCATTATAATTGGTTTTATTTAAAAAATTTGTAATACAATTTTTAGCTGTTCTTTTAATTTTTTTTCTTATTTGTTCTTTTTTATCTGTTTTGTTATTACCTGTGTTCTGTAATTCATTTTTGTAATTCATTCTCTATCTCGAATTATTGCCTTTCTCTCAATTAGCCTACTATGTAAATGCATATTTATATAGTTGTATATAATAATGCACAAATTTGTACATATTCTGTTCGATTCATACACATTAGGTATTTATTGTTAAGTCTTACTTATTTAAATGTTTTCTGTTTTCATGTCATGTGTATGCATGTACGTACCAAGAGCTCCTTAAAAAAACACAACAAATTCCTCGTGTGTTTGCGCACACCTGGCGAATAAAGCTAATTCTGATTCTGTTCTTATTTTGATCTTACCCATGCAGCAAACCTTTTTTTTTTTGGCTTTGGGGGAAAAAATGTCGCGAGCTTATTTCACAATATTAGATGGAAAGATCAGAAAGAGTCCACATACACTGGCCCACAGATTCTCCCCTCAAAACAAATCAGGACAGAAGTGGTGGAAAGTTAAAACGCCAGGTGTAAACGGGAATGTGTCTCCCTCGTCTAGTGATCCACTGAGTGATAACATTGGTTATACAAATGCTAATCAATCCCCCCCAAAAAATACACCTTTACTATAATAAAACGATGGTTGATTTTCGTAAGAGTTCAAACTTAGAGTATTTTGCTAGAGTATTCTAGCATATTAATGTGACTTGATACATTGCAAATGACAAAGGCCTCCGGTAGGATATTGTCTGTTTACACTGGTAAAGCAATCACTGGTCAAGGGAAGCCAGACACTTGAGGCAAACATCGTGGACTTCCGGAAGATCACGTGTTCTCAGTGGCGCGAGACGAGTCACCTTGTGTTGACTTGAGTTAACTCTGATACAATTGAGTAAACTGTGAGTCATATCATATGTCTTATAAACTGTACCTCGGGAGCAGGAACGGAATCCCCGTGTCTCTGTGTGTGTGTGGGTGTGTGGGTGTGCGTGTTTGTTGTATACAGCTGTAGCTTCATTGTAGGCTACTTTACAACTGTATAAGTTACCGTTTTAAAGTAGTTTTAAAAGGAGACAAATAACTAAGTTCATGCATTCCTAAGCTCCATTTAAATCGAGATGTGCCTCTGTCCTGATGCTGAGATGGTCCTCACTGCAGAACACAAGATCCAGGGGGCGAGGAGTGGATCCATATACCTAAATCTCCACTCCTAAATTTACCAATCTCCACCCATAGATGTGGATCCAACCCCGCCCCCTGGATCGGTCTGGTGGAAGCGTGAGTATATCGCTGTCTCCGGATGTGGTGTAGTAGGCTACAGTTCACGTGTGACGCAGTGCAGGCTGTCAGTATACTCCCCTGAAGCATCTTCTCCCTCCCATTCATAAATAGCGAGGACACGCGCTACAATTCATCCAGAAGGCTTCCGGAGAAGAATCATTCCGCTCTCTGCCTGCAGTTTTTGGCCAAGGATTCCCTTAAGGTATGCTTTACATTTAAAGACACTTCGACTGAGAACCGTTTATGTTATTAGCAGGTTTATAAATTAATTGTCGAAAAAAGTTTTTTTTTAAAATGATCAAATCATGCATGGGATTTATTCTAGTCAATATGTGTGAGAAGGCTACTACTGTGAACTGTCCATTCATTCAAACAGCGCGTCGCATTTGGTTTTGACACTGAGCACGATAAAGAACCGAACTACTGGATAGATGCAATACACCGTGTTGCACACACACAATATTATATCATAATCATATTGAGAACAGAGCGAGGATCTCTCGCGCCTGCGTGCTAAGAAACTCTTTAAAGGGGGCGGGACAGTTTTGAAGTTTTGCTCTTCCAGTGGCTTGTCTGAAAGACTATTTGTAATAGTTTGCATATTCCGTCCTGCCCCTCTTCCAGCGATTAATCCAATAACTCATTTGTGCTGATCTGCATGTTTTGCGAAATAAGATGATCATTTAATATTAGTGTTTCGTTTTGATTTAAAATAGTGTAAAATGTAAATGCAACAGGACTAATTGGTCTATTTATTTGTTCTGCGATATAAATGACATATGTTGCTAGTTAAAAACCTGCATATTAATGCTTTATTGTTTTATGGTAGATTATATGTTGTGTCTATGTCGGAATAATTTATTACGAATGTGTTGTTTACAGGAATTTAAGAACGTTGACTCTGTTGTAACACAATCACAGTAATAATCTGTTGGATATTTGCTTTTAATGACACTCCAGGTTCTATTAAACAATCAGAATATGAGAAGTATGTTATATTGGTAAGATACATGGTTGAAGTATTAAAAGGATAACTTATAGCCTACATCGACATATCATCAGCATGTTTGAATAAAGAGCGAAGATATCAAATTTCATAGACCGGATATCACTTTCATGTACAACACTTAAGTTCACTTTTATTATTTCAGTAGTGACAGTAGCGCCCTCTGCTGCCTAAGTAATGTAATATTTCTTTGCAATTGTCACATTTTAAAATGTACCTTTTTTTGTGAAATACGGCATATTGGTTTTCGGTACAAGTCGTTATTTGTTGAAAACATTAGGATTTTTTTGTTTGTTTGTTTTCAAAGTTATTTAGAACTGATAGATTCTATAAAAGACAAGGTTCTTTGCATTTTCACTTCTTTTAAATACCCATCAATACGCCTTTTCCTAATGTTTAAATGTTCGTTAATCACTTGTACAATAATAATATAATGCAACAATAGATTTCAAACATTTTTTTTCCAGCATTGAATTATGGACATCATCAATGTGACGTGTGGAGAGATTCAGACCTCTGTGGGTTTTCTGTATGTGATTCAGTCTGTTATACTGAATCAAACACTCAGTGGAGACTGTGAGCAGAGCTGGTATTCAGAGGTGAGTGTGTTTCTGTCCTCAAACTACACTCACACACACACACACACACACACATGATCTGATGGTGTTTCATTTGTTCAGGACGGGTGTCTGATAGCAGATCCATCAGATCCTCAAACACTGAATGATCCTGCGACGGCTGTAAAATCTGATCGTCTCGTCACGTCTCGCTGTGTGAATCTGATTCATGGGATCATCTGTGATTCTGCTGATGGAGTAATCGACTCAATCTCTCTCAACATGCATCTGTGTTCATATGTAATCCTTCATGAACATTATAAATGCTGTTCTGATGCTTCTTTCCTTCATTTCAGCTTCATGTCAGACTGGACACCGCATTCAGAGGTGAGAGAAACAGTGAAACACATCAGTGTGCATGTCCTGATTGAGATCAAACTCTGTGTTGAACTGAATCTTCTGTGAATCTTCAAGTGAATCATGATGATTGTGAATATGTTTTTCAGCGAGGAATGAAACTGCAGCGACTCCAAACTCAGGTGAGTTTCAGCTGATAAACGTCTGATTATTCACTAATAAAACACTGCAGATCTGATTCACACTCAATCCACTTTCACTCTTTTCTCTCATATTGACTCATATTCATCATCACTGTGTGTTTTTAAAGATGATCTGAATGAAGTGACTCTTCAGCACTCGGGTGCAACACTAGATTTTAACAAATGATATCAATCTGTTATTCTTTATTGTTTTTGTGTGTTCTTGCTTTATTTTATATTAATCAATCATGCTAGTAAAATACTCTGAAATATAAATAAACAAAAACAATAATGTCTTATGAGAATCACATTAAGATGATGAAACTTAAACCCCTGTGGTTTTGCTTTCTAATATCGTTCAATTACTGTTACTGATCAGCTGATTGTATATTTCATCATCTCTTGTATAGATCAGTCGCTGTGGATTTTGGCTGTTTTTATTATCGTCATCCTTCTCATCCTCACCTTGATCTGTTTCTTGTGGCGGAAAAAGAAACTCAGGTGAGACGTGAGTGTTTGATTTGTCAGAAAGACTCTAGTCACTAAATTATGATTTATATGATTGTTAGAAATGAAAATATTGTTTATGATTTGATTTCTTTCTGACATAGTCATATTTAATGATGTAATCAGCGGCCTAAGCTGTAAAATCTATCTCAATAAAGAGAAAATACTTTGAGTATAGTAGTATTTAATAATCAGTTTCAATCTGTTGTCAGATGTTTTCAGAGCATCTTTCATCTCACTGATTCAGAAAACAGGTGAGTGAATCAAAGCAAGAGAAAGAAAGACTTGAACTGAGTTTGACTGATTCACATCAACATTCACATTTCATTTGAGACTCTGTGAATCTGAATCTGCTGAATCTGTTTCTCTCAGGGATCCTGAAACTGGTGTCCAAATGAAGCTCAGATCTGATGAATCTGATTCACTGAATCAATCTGAATCTGATTCTGTCAGGGATCCTGAAACTGGTGTCCAAATGAAGCTCAGATCTGATGAATCTGATTCACTGAATCAATCTGAATCTGATTCTGTCAGGGATCCTGAAACTGGTGTCCAAATGAAGCTCAGATCTGATGAATCTGATTCACTGAATCAATCTGTGTTGAGAAGCACCATCATGAAGCATCATGACGTCCAGCACTGAGTGTTTGAGTAAATATGAAACGTGATGGGGTGATCCTGATCGTCATCTGGACATGAAGCCGTTTATATTTTCAGCCTTCAAGCAGGTCGCAAAGAATCAGAAGAATCCAGTTGATCTTGTGTTCGGATCAGCGAAACATCCCAACCCTCCTTAAGCCTCATTGTTTCAGCTCATTCACACAGTTTTAAAGTATTTATTAATGGTTTCACTGTGGGAATTTAGCTTTTAATTCATCCAGACAAGACAGTATTTCACTCATTTATTGACAATGGTTCTGTATTCTGTGTAAACACAATGCAGCTGCTGATGTAATAAAAAGAGAACCTGTGCAAAAGATGTGATTTTAAACCATTATTATTCTGAAATCTCATGAAATGGTGTAAGGTTGAGAGGTTGGGAAGGATGTTTCATGTGTTTTCAGCAGGATCTCATTTGTTGGTTCACAGATCTTCTGCTCTAAAACCCAGTGATCTGCCTGTATAGTCAGCATTGCAGAAAGGAGCTGTCTGTATAGAGTGAACAGAGCTAGTGATTACTGCGAGGTAAATAATCAGTCAAATCTGTGACAAGTCTAATGTAGTCTAGTCTAGAGAGCTAAATAGGAACGTCTAAAATAAAATATATTTTTATTGGTAGAACGGTTTTATTTCCAACGCATATAAAATGACAGACAGAGGAACACTGTGCCAGTAACTGTAATGACCCTGGTTTTACTGCAGCACATGTCTGACAATAACACCAGCATTTGATCTGTTTGCTGAGTGTCCAGCAGGTGGCGCCAAATATTCATTATTGGATTATTATTAGCGATAGAATGAATAAAGTTGACCAAACTGGTAATTTTCTTTGCTTGTGTCTGCTGTTCTTCTGCTTTATTACGTGTTTCTCGTGTTCAGTGAGCTGTGGCTGTAAACAGTTTATTCTTAGTTCTTTTATATCCGTTCAGTTCAGCTGAATGTTTCTCATGCTGTGAGTTTATTTAACTGCTGCAAAGTCTTGCTCAGCTGCAAACAGCAAGGCAATATTAACAATGAAGTTTGTCAGGAAAGAAGGCGCAGGAGTCACTCGCTTCCTGTCACGTGATGATGACGTCACTGCAAGCGCAGAGGTTAAATCACTTGAAATCGAAAGTGAAAGTAAAGCTGAACAGCAGCTCGACGCCTGGTGAGACTATATTCCCTGCACATCTGTGTTATACGCACATGTGTTTCTTATTAGATATTATAAATCATTATAAATATTGAGATTATGTTTTGAATGCATTTTTTCTAGAAACCATCTTCATGGGCTCATTGTGATCAGTTTCAGTAAAGATGGCGACGAGACCTCAAACACTTCCTGGTAAGAAGAAACTATGTTACACCGTTTAAGTGATAAGAAACAATTTAGTTAGTTTAGATAGTCTTAGTGTTAATTAATTAAAATTGAAATAATGCTCTTAAAGTCTAATTTGGTTCCTCTGAATATTATTATAAACGATTCAGTCCTATTACAATGAGCTGAGAAATTAGTTATATTTTTACTGACGGATGTTAAGAGACATTTTAGTCCTGTTTATTGTGCTCTTTAATTTGTGGAATGACCCTTGACTTTGGTTTCACATTAATACCACATATTTCCTGATTCTTTCAGAGATGTCAGCGATCAGCTCCAGTCCAGATGATCCAGTGATCCGGATTCTCCTGATGGGCAGAAACGCTTCTGGGAAAACCTCATCAGGGATCACTTTACTGGGAGAAAATGGATTTATAATGAGTCTGAAGTTTGTGAGGAGAAAATGTAGGTTGATGACAAATAGGTGAACATGACTGACTCTTCAAAATGTGCATAATATAGGCCTACTCGTCTTCGGGACCGAAGAAGAAGAAGAAACTTAGAAGTGCACCTCCCACTTTGAAAAGCCTGCTGATCTCCAACGGGATTGAGTGGCGGAGGAACAGCAAATCACACGAGTGAACTGGACCGGAATATTCAAACTCATGGTCTTGTAGCAGAGGCTGCCGCCGGGCGCATGCGCGTGAAGTCAAATAATTAAAGAGAAAAAATTACAATGTTTTTAAGAGGTATGCTATGTTTACTTTAATAGCCTAAAAATATGGAGTGTGTGGATGCATTAGGTGCGAGAGCGCGTTTTAACCTGATGATCATAACTTGATTCGTAGAGCGCTAGTCGTCCCATATTTCTCTTCTCGGGTAAAGCGACATTCTTCCTTCATACAGCACATGCAACAGAAGAGGGAGGAACTCAAGCACAGAACGCAAAACGATGGCTGCCCGTACAGTTTGAATGCTGATAATTTAAGCGAAAGGTGTTTAAATCCCAAAGAAGCATTATGTGTGCTTATTTTTATTTAAGAACCCAAGAACATAACTTAAGTTGATTTGTGCAGCGCTATATGACCCCTGTCAGATATCTATAGGGTCCAAAAAAAAATGCACTCATGCCATTTTTCTAACAATACAGGCAGAAAGGAGCCGGAGAGTCAGGCTTAAAACGCCCGCAAGATGCAGTGCTGCGCATGCGCGACATTATCTGGGTTGTTTGCAAGAACAGCGTCAGATATTGCCTAACTTTATACAAGTTATAGTTTCTATATCACTGGGTATAGCCTATGACTTCCAATCATATTTATTTAGTCTATATTGGTACATAAACTCAAATACAAAGAAATAAGTTACAATAAAATAGGCTATAAACTCAATAATTTGACAATACAAAAAGGAGCCAAAATGGCCAAAAAGCCAACATGGAGTCAGCAGAAGCTATTGTTTATTTAACCTTCTGTCACCTTCATGTTCATTCAGTCTGTGATGAAATGTTTATTTATGCACCATCTCAACAGAAAGTGGACATTCAACAGTATCTTATCAAAGGCTGCTTAAAAAAAAAAAACTAGAAGAAGAAGAATGAAGGGAATCCTCTTAAATGCAGAATATTCTTTGAAATGCTTACAGACTTCCATATATGCACTTTTAGAAATATATCAGCAAATGGTAAATTATAGAAGATGATCCTCTGAACATTTTCACGGTGTTAAATGACATTTTCCAGAAATGTTTAATGTTTATTCCAAGAAAACACTTGTCATGCAATAATATATTGCAGTAATTTGTTCTGTGATTATAGTTTTTTATGTTTTTACATTATGTAGCCTAATGTTTTTACAAATAGAATGTCAAAACATTGCTAAATGTGGCCGAATTATAAAAGCCAGAAGAAATGAAGAGCTTGATTTGGAGCCGATAGAGCCTGTTTTTAATTTCTGGAGATGAAACCAAACGATCCGCCTTTCAAAAAGAGGGTCGGAATTTCCATCTTCGTCTGTGTAAAAACATAATAAGCGCTTGCTCTCATTGGTCAAATCCACCTCGCGTTCATGTTTGGCCCCTCCTTCCCCCTGCGCCTATACGCTTCACTTGAGCTGCTGGAGCAAACGCTTTTCTAATCTAGTTCAAGAGGAATTTCATTCAGCTTTTGCTCCACTCACACAAGCAAAGCATCCGCTAAAGGTATGAACTATATTTACTATAAGCTGCATGTTTAAATACAGTTTGACAGTGAACCGCTTTTATAGCCTCACATGTTTTTTTTTATGTGGTCAAAACTGTTAACAGTTCGTAGGAATCTTTTCTGCAGGAAAAGAAGGGCATGTTCAAATGTAAATCGTTTATTATGATTATGAGTGACTCTCTTGATTTCATCCATAGAGCAAAATTGCTTTTTTACATCACGAACGTGTGGACACAGTGTACATTAAATGAGAAATACATAAACAATAGTTTTACGCGACAGTTTCTGGTTGTATTAAATTAGGTTTGTCCAACCTTGGCACGCGCAGAGTTGAACTTTCCGAGGGGATGCACTTTTTCCAGTTTCGCTTTAGCCTATAGCAGATGACAGATGACTTCACCTTTTGTTGTTCTGTGTCTGAAAGAAGTTACCGCTATCAGCTAACGTGATTAGGTCAGTGATCCTCAGCATTTCACACAAACAGACCACGCTACCCACGGCATGAGCGCGCGCACACAAACACAGAACTGCACGCGCTTCATCGGCCCGCGCTATAAACTGACGGGACAGACAGTGATTAACATTATTCTTTTGTCTCTATACATAAAGACACATTTGCATAGATGGGCGAACATAATCTCCTGATTTTGTAAATGTGGCCAATTACATTTGCTTTAGGCACCCACTTGTCACTGTGCATGAAGATGAAGTGCTGTGCTTTGGGCAAAGGAAATGTTCATTGTGAGAGTGAGTCTCTGTGTTTGCTGGTTTCACACACAGTATCTTCTCTGTTGTCCAATTAAATACGATTCAAATTTGAAATAGCTTTTTAAAGATTTGGCGAGTACTGGTCTATTCACTGTTATTACAATGGCGCCCTCTGCTGCACTCTGTTACTTACAAATATCTATATGTAATTGTTGCATTTTATAATAAGCCTATCGTTTTGCTGAAATATTATATTTTTGTGTGAAGAACAGAGTGGAATTTAAGTCATTTGTTTTCCATGCTTTTGTGATGAGAAATCCTAGAATATGTTTTTCTGCTTAAAATGCACGTCAGTACACTTTTCCCACGGACATGTAAATGTTTGTTAAGGTGTAAAATGTTTATTAAACATGTAAATGTTTGTTATTGGAAACCACTTAACATGCAGTAATTTCTTATGTGATTTAAAATGATTTTCCAGTTTTTTTCAGATTGAAAGATGTACATCATCAATGTGTCGTGTGCAGAGATTCTCCATCCAGTGGGGTTTGTGTATGTGATTCTGCCTGTTTTACTGAATCACACCAATAATCCTGAGTGTGAGCAGAGCTGGTATCTACAGGTGAGTGTGTTTCTGTCCTCTAACTACACCATTACGCACACACACACACACAAACACACAATCTGATTCATTTGTTCAGGACGGGTGTCTTATAGCAGATCCATCAGATCCTCAAACACTGATTAATCCTGCGACGGCTGTATCATCGGATCATCTCGTAACGTCTCACTGTGTGAATCTGAATCATGAGATCCGCTGTGATTCTGCTGCTAGAGTAAATCAGCTCAATCTCTATATCTCTATATTTAATCCTTCATGACCAATATAAATTATGCTGTAATGCTTCTTTCCTTCATTTCAGTCTCATTTCAGTCGTGTGACCGCATTTCAGAACCTTCACCGTCTCTGTTCCTCTGATCCGCAAACCTCCATACCATCTGCTGAAGACATCTGAACCAAACCACAACCTTAAAAACCAAGGCACTTACCACAAACAATTATTCTTTTCTGTGTTTTATTTCTGCTCTGACTTGTTTCTTGATCTAGCTTTGAAATTAACCTGTCAATTAGGATAAAAGTGTCTGATAAATTAGTAAATGTAAATGAAAACGGTTAATTTTTAATGTTGTTTATTCACTGTATGTTTCTGGGGTATGGGGTAATAAAATGTACTTTAAATTACTTGATTTCAGATTTGAAATCTGTTCCTTACATTTTTATTAAACTCTTGCTATTTTTAAACTATATGTGCATATTAGTTTTGATTTTAAATGACAGTTCACCCAAAAAGGATCATTCTGCCCTCATTTATTCATCCTCATGTGGTTCAACATGTACAATTTACTTTCTTGTATGAAAGCTACGACTTGTTATAAAATTTTAGCCAGGAAAGGAAGATTTGATATAGGTGGATATTTATTTAAATTATACAAATCCATGTTGTGCTTCTTGAGTACTGGGGTAACAGCAGCAAACAACCCAGTAGGAAGGGCATCAGGTACACAAGTAGTTGAAACAACTGTAACAAGTGAGGCAAAATCAGGCTGTACAAAATTTAAACGAAACACTCTGCACACTAGCATGAGAACTATCAGGACATTTTTCCCAGTCGTCTCAAAGGTTCCAGTTGAGTGGGTACAACAGTTAGCGAAAGCTGATTACAGTTTCTTAAGTTTTAAATATGGATATTTTTCTTACACGAACGCATTGCTTCTAATCAGAAGGCATTTATTAATCCCCGGAGCTGTGTGGAACACTTTTTATGATGGATTTATTATCTTCATTTTGCTTCAAAATCTAAAGCCCCATTCACTACCATTATAAAGCTTGGAAGGACATTTTAATATAACTCCGACTGGATTCGACTGAAAGAAGAAAGTCATATACACCTAGGATGGCTTGCGGGTGAGTAAATTATGGGATACTTTTCTTTTTTCAGGCGAACTATTCCTTTAAACTCAAGACAATTGGATGGGTGTCTGTTATTTACTGTTTTTGGCTATTTCAAGTAGAAATGAGCAGAAATCTCTTACAACTAGCCCATGCTGTGTTTCAATCCTTTCATAATGAACATTTTTAATTTTTTTTCACAAATATTCCACAGTTTGAGTATTTCACTTTCATTTTTGGAATTAATTATTCAATTTAATTAATTAATTAATGGCTTGAATGATTTTTGAAATGAAATTTGCATCAATTATCTTTGTCATTTCTTAGGCCCTGTCCACACGAACGCGGTTTTTTTCAAAACCACAGGTTTTTCTACGCGGTTAGGCCGTTCGTCCACACGCAAACGCAACACCAGGTCACTGAAACCGAACATTTTTGAAAACACCTGCCAGGGTAAAGATTTGAGCCTACACTGTTATCTCCGCCTACTGGAAACTTTTTCAGGCTTCTGATTGGCCAACATGGCTTTATGGTTGAGATTATATCGCCACCTGTTGGCTTGGCATCAGTAGCGGCTCCTGACCGTAAATTCAGGTGGGGCAGATTCTGGGTCGTAGCACTAATATATGAAAAATATTTTTAAAACTTTATATTCTAATCTCTGAACACATGCGGACAACATTTTGGCAGAGATGTCCTTGCGTTATCCTGGCTGTGGGTGGCGCGTTAATGTTGATTGACAGGCTCGGAGAACACGCATAAAATACTGTATTATAATTGCCTTAATATAGCGTTTATCACCTCCAAATGTTGATTTAGAATGTTACAAGTTGTGGAGCAATTCGGGTGAGGAAAGGCGATCATATGTCTATTCTCAGAATAA